CCTTCAGGCCTTTGATTGTATCATAGGCATTCATTCCATGCAGTCATTGACATTGTTTAGAAGTCGGCGCTAATGTTAATATCAAAAGCATAATATTTTCTATGGAAAGTTGTCTGGGTTTTTGGTCATTAGAGAATGTATTTTCCTACAGTTTTGTCTGATTTGAATAGATCTTTATGTAAAATGATGTTATCTATTGAATCATATGCATGAAATACGAGGACTGTTCAATAAATAATGTCCTCGGTGCTCAGAAAGAAGCAAACCGACGCTTTTCAATGATTTAGTCTTCATGATTTCACTTATTAATCTCTTTTAATTCAAACACATGTCTGTAACATTTTTTATCCAATTTCTGATTGTTTTTAGAACTCATTTTTGGGTATGACCCTAAGTATACTGGAAAATGGCAGATCCAATGATTTACTGGACTTGTTTTTTCCGTCTGAAAGGTGTTTTTTTTCAAGCTTGGAAATAAAAACAAGTCAAAAGGTCAAAGATCTGGCAAATATTGTTAATGTTAAAAATCATTAACTTTCTGTTTATCCCGAAAATCCCTTTACTCTTCAGGGCATGCGGGTTTGGACGCTGTCATGAAGAAATTCAATGAAGGGGATTCCTGATTCTGGGTCCTTCCTCTAATAAACTTTTTGATCTTTTTACAAAAAAATTGCTTTCTGTACTCCTCCAGAAATTAAACTGTCTCCCCGACGCTGCATTTCATTTCCGGAAATATGCATAGCATTTCCGACATTTTTTTATTTCATTTCCGACATTTTTTGTTTTCATTTCCGACATAATTTCTTTTTCATTTCCGGAATTTACCTGTGCGGCAATTCAATGTTTTCTACGTAAAAGAAAATGGAATTTCAAAAGTATTTATACGAAAATATTAATAAATTAAAAAGAAAACAAAACATCTAGTATACATGTGTGCATACATGTGGCACTAAGTCTAGGTAAAAAGAGTTCAATGAGCATTAAACTTTTTCACCACATTTAATGTGCACTAAATTAAATGTCAGTGACAGCACCATACTTATGTCCAAGTCCCTAATAGATTTACCAAATTGGATTTCAATGATGTATTTATGATTTATTCCTTTAAATTTTTCATAAGTAAAGTTATTAAATCTTTTACTATAGGTACTGCATATATTTGAAAAATGTCGGAAATGAAAACAAAAAAATGTCGGAAATGAAAAGTTGATAATTACCAAAAATTCCGGAAATGAAATGCAGCCCTCCCTCCCCGAATAGGAATTTGAACAACAATACCACACAATACCACTAATAGTTAAGAAAATTGCATATACATCTGTCTTTGTGCTCTTGCATACCTTTGCTTTTGTCAGCAGACCTTTCGCCGTTTTTATCATGTACATGTGCTTACATCGAAAAATAATTATGGTAGATTTTGTTTTGATGATTTTAAGCAATAGATTCATGTTCCAATATCTGTTTGAATATAAAACAAACGTGTATAACTACACTTGCTGATATTTTAAAATAATTGTTAAGACTTCGTACACGCTGTCGTTTTCACTTATTTTTCAAAATATAGGGTGACCTTTGAGTATCAAGCTTTTTTACTGTCAAACGTTTCTTAAAAACAGTGTAAACTAGTGCTAATTGTAACGGGAACCGTTACAGATGTTCCCCAAACGCTCCCCAACTCCCTTCTCGTGCCATATTCCCTGTAAGTTTATTAAAGAAGGCAAAATCTATGCATTTAAGACGTTAACAACGTTTTCCCAAAAGTATATCAAGTATTTCAAATTTAAGCAATGCAGGCGTGCGCATGTGATTGCATGAGCGTAATGACGATATCATCTTGTCTACACTATTTTATTCATTTGCACGTGCACGCACGTGCATGATGACCATACCTTCTTGTAGGAGTCCATTATGTCTGTCTATGTTCTTAATCCCATCCTGTTTGGTTGAAAAACAAGGGAGTTATAGCCATTTAAAGTTTAAGCCAATCAGATTGCAGCGCACGTGCATTTTGTAAAAAACAGAAAAGATATTGAGATTTTTGTTTCAGCCAATCAGAGCAAAGCGCACGTGCACGCACGTGCATGCATGCGAATGGTGACCATACCATCCTTTAGGAGTCCTTTATGTCTATCTGTGTTGTAAATCCCATGCTGTTTGGTTTAAAACCAAGGGAGTTATACTCATTTAAAGTTTCAGCCAATCAGATTATAGCGCACGCGCATGCGCGTGATTTCATGAAAAGTTTTATGTATCATATTGTAGTACATCCTAATGCATGTCTATGTTATAAATTTCAAAGCATTTCATCATAAAACAAAAAAGATATTGAGATTTCTGTTTCAGCCAATCAGAGCAAGGCGCACGTGCATGCGCGTGAGTTCATGCAAATTTGACCATGTCATCTTAACTACAGAACTTATATCTTTATATAATGAGTTTCGAAACATTTTATCAAAAAATTTAAAAGTTTGCATGACTATGTTTTAAATTTCAAAGCATTTCGTCAAAAAACAAAGGAGATATAGCCATTTAAAGTTTCAGCCAATCAGATTGCAGCAAGCGTGCATGCGCATGCTTTCAGGAAATTTTTTATATATCATGCTGTAGATCTTCATAATGTAGGACTATGTTCAAAATTTCTAAAGATTATGACTAGAAACAAGAAAGATATTGAGAATTTAGTTTCAGCCAATCAGAGCGAAGCGCACGTGCATGCGCGTGAGATCTTGCTATTTTGACCATGCCATCTTGTCTATACTACTAATATATCCTTACATTATGAGTTTCAATAAAATTCATCAAAAAAAAGAAAAGTTACAGCAATATCCATTATATTGGTCATTTCACGTGTTGCACGTGCGCGCTCTTGCAAGCACGTGCGCGCAAAATGACCTTGATTCCGCAAATCTACATAACATGTCTACTGACCCTAAAAAGGTTTTACCTACATTGGACGAATAGTTTACAAGATCATTCCCGGACAAAAAAGTACCCAGGAAGAAGAAGAAGAAGAAGAAAAATAATAATAATAATAAGAAACAGAGTAAAAACAATATGTTCCCCAACTTCGTTTGGGGAACATAATTACTAAGTACTCCCGATATGATGTCTATATAAAATTTGCTTTGTGTCTTCAAGTCAATCAAACATCGTCAAATATTATTTGTTGAAATTTGGCAAACAGTACATAAGTTGTTATAATTTTTGTTGGCAAGGAGGATACCCATTTTTGATGCCCATTGTATAATTTTTTATCATTGAAATCCACCTGCTCTTTTGTCTATAAAACAGGCGTTGGTTGCTGTAAATAACACATATTTCAGTGAATATTTCTTTGGGATTCTTAACAAATTTTACAGCAGCTTTAATGAAGCCTTTATTTTCACTCTAGTTTACGGATTCTTAACCATTCATTTATAATGCAGTGTCTCGAATAGCCATTGTTTCCCAGCTTCTCACGATGAAACTATGTGATGAAAAGTGGTCACATAAACTGTTATAAATTCAGTAAAGATTCAATAATGAGAGAAAGTCAAGTTTAATGTCATATGATATTATCTGTATTGTATGTCATACAGTTTAGGACATTATTTATTGAACAGCCCTCGTAATTTATATGATATGAATTTATAATATATGCATGAAATAATTTATTTCTTGATATATAATAGATCTAAATTACTGATATACAGTTGCATGTACTGAAAGTTTCTCTATTTTATTTCATCTACACATGATCATCTCTGGGTGCTTTATTAGCTTAAGAATTTTAGAAAATAATTTTTAAAGACGTCGCTTGAGTCAACCCACGAACTATTGACCTGTTGAATGAATTTGCCAGGGGTCCAATGGTAACGTGTTGACTCAGTACTCCTGTCACTGCGAAAATGTAGGTCATAAGGACTTAAAATTAGGTGTAGTTAAAGAAAGCTAAAAAATAATCATCTAGAAAATGTACAATGCATTGGCATCGGAAATCGGAGGGGTGGGGGTGCAAAAGATAGGCATTGAAAATTGGGGCGTAGGTTTTAGCGCCCAAGAAATTGGTGTTGAAAGAAGTTCGATCCTATTCACCCCCACCCCCTACCACCACCACGAAATAGGATTTTCTTGTTTGGACAGTGGACACATTTTTTTTTTTTTTTTTTTTTTTTGCTTTTCAAGTATTTTTGTAGGTTTGAAATCTTTCTCTCTTTCAATTAGCCCTTCTCCCCACTTTGCTCCCGACGCTAATTCAATGTATGAATTATGACCCTTGCATTTTGACCTTCAAATCAATAGGGATCTTCTTTTGGTCACAGGGAGTTGTGGTATAAAATTCATCATAAAAACCTTTTTACAGACTTCTTTAGCATGTTTAGATAGCGTTTAGAAAGAAAGTGTAACACAAGGATCTACCTCAAAACAATCTATGACCAGCAAACATTTTCAAAATTCGACTTTGTTTTTGTTTCTTCTTCTTTTTTTTCGGGGGGAGGGGGGTCTTTTAACCGGAGGATCATTACTAAATTTGTAATAAATTATAAACTTTGTATTTACTAATTTTTCCAGAAAAGAAAGCTGCAAATTTCTTTTCAATGACTATGTTGCCTTTTACTATTTCTCAGCCCCTAAAAGGAAACACGAATAGATTTTTTTCTACATTTAAAATACGAAATTAAAAGCTGAAGATCTCAATGTCCAAAATTATTGTGCCCCGTTTTCACTGGAAGTAGGATATATCTATTTCAGTCTGCCCGTCCGTCTGTATGTAATTCTTTTATAACTCGTGGAATCTCGAAGTCAGCTTTTACTGTGGATTTGTTTGTTATCCAACATCTTTTGCATTTTCGTTTAAGAACATCTTTACATTGTATGCTAAAGAGTTCGTAATATTTTTTATATTTTGTAATATTTTTTATGTATGTAGAGTTGTGTGCCCTTAGAACGGATTTTTTAAAATAAAGGTCCTTAAAAAATATTGATCCACACCTTTGGAATCGCGCGATAACATTTTGTCTCTTATCGCTGAATAGCAAACACTTCCCTGGATTACAAACGTCCGCGTTAGATAGATACCATGGTTTGACTGAACTCTTTTTTATAGAGTGTTAGATAGTTTATGGAGTATTTTCAGAGTATAGATAGTTACACAACACGGCAGTTATATCTTCCTGGTGTCTAGGTTCTCGTAATGGAATCTTTAAGACGAACCTTCAGAAGCCGTAGGGACTACTCGGCCATTAACCCAGTGTTGAAGTATTTCCTTTTCTTTGAGAATTTTCTAATATGGGTAAGTGATATTTTGAAATATGGGTAGGTAAATATTTTGAAATAACTTTGATCCCTTTTTGCAATTATAAAGGTGTGATATATTGAGTTTATCAATTCAATGTTTTATCCATTGACAGATAATAGGACATATGTAGGGTAAACAATGTCTGTGTATGTACATATCCCCTTAAATAAAGACGAAAACTCTTCTATTTATTTTACTTTTTTCTTAGCTAATATACTAGTACTTAAACTTTGAACTTTGTATAATAAAGTTTACATATCCATTCCTTAGAGAAGAGGTTCACTGGTTTTGTCAGCTTTTTTTAGCTATGCCAAATTTTTCTCCCAATGCAAACGCTTAAGTGAACAACTTTAGCTCTAATGGAAAAAAGGGTCTTCACAAAATTTTCTCCACAAAAACATTAAAATGTATAAATGAAAACAAACAAAAGAGAAATTCGGCCGAAAATAGCCTCCGACTCGTATATACTAGTCAATGTCTTTTAGAACTTTGATGTGCCACATTTTTTCTTTCTATTTCTTTGATTACAAGTTTTTGAAATTCATTGTCAAAATCTTTTCAAACATTTGGATATCGCCTAGATGTAAAACTAAATATGAAACCTATATGGAATTTCTGATATTACATCCTTTGTGAACGTAGATCGTTATCGGGGGACCTGTATGTATAATCTCTGATCGAAAAATGGAATACTTTCAATGAATTATTTTCAGCTTGCGGGTCTTGCAATGACAGCCATTGGGGCTTACGTCCTTTACATGAAGAAGAAGGTTGTTAAGGACGCGTTCGATTTTTTCCTGGATCCGTCCACATTGATGTGTACAGGGGGCGCTATAGTCGTGTTCATAACTTTCTTTGGCTGTATGGGAGCTCTCAGAGAAAACACATGCTTTCTCAAAACGGTGAGAAATTTTGATAAAAATCTATTATTAGGCCAAGTCTTGAAAAATTATTGCTTGCCTTCTCCCGACTGGGTCTGAAAATTTTGGGTGGGTATACAGGTGAGAAAATATTTTTTCTCAGAGAATTCAATTGCAGTGCCTTTTTTTAAAATGTATTTTCCAAAGTACAAATAAGAAAAAATATTGCTTTCCGATGATGAAAAAAAGTAATGAGTCGTGCTATTTTTAGCCGTTCGATAGGGAGAGGGCAACCAAACATTTTTTTGAGAAGGCCCTCCCGATAATCTGATTTTCTAGCAAAAGACATGACCTATATTCTCAATATGTAGGACAGATATTTGAAAATTAGACGACGATGTTAAAAAAATCGGACTTTCCAACTTTAAATTATACTTTCTTTAATCTTTCTAAAAGTTGCATCATAGGAAAATAATATTTTTTTCGTCTTCTTCCAGTACAATTACGTATTGAGTTTCATCTTTTTGGGAGAGTTGGTGCTTGTGATCCTTATTTTTGTGTTTTATTACGTCCCCGAATCTCGTCATCAACTGGGAATTTTCCCTCAAGATAGCTTGAGAAATGCAATAAACAAATACGGTGTCGTGGACGATGATGATATGGTCAGCTTAATTGACAACATACAAAAAACGGTAAGACAAATAAAATTAAAAGTTTCATTCAACAGGTGAAAAAATCTTAAAACAAAGTAAAAAAAATGTGTTTGTAGAACACTGATACAACTGTGTCCTATTGTGTCCGGATAGGGCCTTTTACTAAAGCTCAATAGCACTTTTATAAAAACACGCTGTCTTTCAAGCAACTCGCCGGCGCTAACACACAACACATCGACGCAGTTTTGTTAGCACGTCGGCATGTTGCGCAAACTCGTGTTAGCGCGACAGTGCGTTGTGTGTTAGTGCGATGGCGTGTTGTGCGAAATCGTGTTAGCGTGACAGCGTGTTGTGTGTTAACGCGACGGCGTGTTCTAGTGTTAGCGTGACAGCATGTACTGTGTGTTAGCGCAACGTCGTGTTTTTCTGAACGCGCTGTTGAGCTTTTGCAAATGGCCCTATCCGGACATCATAGAGAGATTAATAAAAATGAGTTTCACACTGATACAAATGTACCCTATTGTGTCCGTTCAGGTCCATTTTCTAAAGTTCAACAGCGCTTTT